GAGACGCTCTTCTTAATGCACCCCAGGATCCCATTGGCCTTCTTGGCCACGAGGGCACACGGCTGCCACATGGTCACCTTATCGTCCACTATGACACCCAGGTCCCTCTCTGCAGAGCTGCTCTCCAGAAGGTCTGTGCCCAGCCTGTACTGGTGTCTGGGGTTATTTCTCCCCAGCAATTAAATTATTTAATAATTCATTGTTTTAATTAATTTAATTAATTATTAATTAAATTATTTTTTCCCAAATGTTTTAGTGTTGAGAAATATGTTTTCTCAACACTAAACATTTGGGGAAAAAAAAATCTACCTGTCAATTTCAGGTCTTATTTGCTAATGTTTTTCTTTTATATGATGCTCTGGTAATGTATATTACTATGCACTCTTCAACTTCAATTTAATTGCAAGGATGATGTCTGTATATGTCTTCATATTCAAGAGGGAAAAGAGAAGGGGGGGGAGTAAAAAGAGAATTTTATGCCATTGGCATAAAATTTTAGCCTCCTTATTAAATGGAATATTTGAATTAATTTAACTGCCTGACATGAAGCATATTGAGAGATACATACACTCATGAATATCAACCGCAGCACAGGTGAGCTGGCTGTACTTAGTCTAATGCAAGTAGGATTTAAAGATGTTGGTAAATAAAAAGATATTGACAGAGTCTTTATGCTCCCACTATTATACTGATCCAGGGGTTAAGCTACAGGTTTTATGTTTGGTAATGCTCTTAGGTTACTGTCAATACACTGTAGTGAAAGGGAGCAGAGCCACATTCAGAACATGGAGGTATTGCTGAATTTTACAGCCAAATCTTGCTAAACGTGATCCGCGTTACGGGCTGCATTGCTTCAGCTGCAGCACATGCTTAACAGCTTGGGCCATGCAGCTCTTCATTTGCTAAAATGGAGCTTAAAAAAACAGCCTAAGATAGTGTGCAAAATAATAGTCATTAGTCAGATGGGAGTCACTAGAGAGAACCATCGCTTTAGAGTTAGACTTGAATACATTTTTAAATATTATGATGAGACATACCATTGCTATTACAGACTGTCTAACCCTTTAGGCATTCAGTCTAATAAGTTAAAATTTAATCTTGTAAAATAAGAAGATTTTTCTCACTTTACCAAATCAAAATAGCTAAAATGCCTTTTTTTTCCCCTCACAGCTTAAATCAAATCACAAAGGCTGAGTTACGTTAAAATGAATTCAAGTGTCTGTTAAATGCCATTGTTTAAAAAGCTTGATTTGAGACAATATTCCTGTTAGAAAATTAAATACCGTATATTCGGATTTTTGGACAAGCAGTAAACAGTGTGCCTGACAAGGCTAGAGATTCAGTACCACTGTTAAACACAAATCTACACTTACTTAAAAAAAAACCAAAAACAAAAAGAAAAACAGAAATCCCAAGCACAACAAAACTACCACTGCATGTGAAAGTTGGGGGGGGGGGGCAAGAAACTAGGGTGCTAAAGGTCAATATAGGTTTCATTCTCAGCAGAATGATTACTCCAAGACATGAAAAACAAAATTAACGATAGCAAGTATATAACTATGTGCCTCTCTGATCAGAACCGTCAGGTCATGTCCCTAAGCTGTATTCGCCCTGTGCTTTCTACGCCAGAGAATGGTTACGCACCAGAGTTACTCCTCACAGGAACAGAATACATCATGAAAAGAGATATAAACAAACCCTATAAAAAGTGGAGCAGGTAAATTCTAGACCAGAACACTATTTAAACATGATCAAATAACGGTATTCATGCAAACTTATAGGGTTATAGCAAAAGACTTATCCTAAACAAAACAGGAGAATTTATAGTCTCTACTTGTCGCTGTCCTACAGCAGCTGCTGAAATTGCAAAAGCAGCAGCCAAGCCTAACTTTCTACAGTTCTTTGTCTACCCTATTTCTCATAGGAGAAATAGGGAAACAAGTTCTTATAAACAAAAATAATTGATCCAAAGTGCTTTCCTGAAGTTAAGGGAAAAAAAATAGTGCAGTGAACTACTATAAAACTTCCAAATCTCTAATAAATTTATTTGATCATAACGTACCAAATGTCATTCTCAGGCCAATTGTTGAAATTATTCAACCTTCACAAAATATAGAGTGTTCTATTTTCCTGAATGCGACATTTTAAGGGGGAAGGGGGGCAAAGAATGGTTATCTTTTCTAAAATAAACGCATTTGTAACAGAATAAAACCAACATTTCCCATTTTACCCATGCACAGCTGAAGAATAGACAAACATGCTGTATGTATTTTGACAGAGGCTTTTAGGGAATAGAGTAAAAGTGACTGGAAAATAAAGTACAGAGAGACCCATCAGGACTGTCTATATTTCTCTACATTTGGTTACCATTGAATGCGTTCTGCGCCGCACTGGTTGCTGCTGTGGAGGCGGCATTTGCTGCAGCCGTTTGCACGGTCTTGTTGGACATCACTCCCGTTGCGAACTCCTGCTGCGCCTTCTCGAAACTAGCGCCGGTCGTGCGGTAGAGCCCGTGCACCTGCCGGGTGGGAGAGCCAGGAGAGCAGCACGTGACACCTCCTGCTGCCTCAGAGCAAAGGGGGCCATGTGGGGGGAACTGGCTTTGCTCCTCTGCTCGGCAGAATGGGGAAAGGAGCAAGCGCCTTCCCCCACCGCCCGGCAGTCTTGGCTTCCTCTAAAACAGGGTGCAGCCCATTGCCTGAAACACCATCGTTCGATGCCCAGGAGGCAGCATCCTTAGCGCAGCACAGGGCCACAGCTGCTTGCAAAAGCTTTTTCCGTCTCAACTGCTATACAACTTGGCCTACACGTGACCTACACAAGACTTCGTAACTGCATGTTAAAATATGTTGGGGAACAAAACTAAAAAAGCACTTCCTGAATCCACTGTCTCAATAATATTCTGATTATTTTTTTCCTACACCAATTCTTGACACAATATAATGTCACTAAGATTTACATGTCTATAAGAACCTACTGTGCTAAGCTATGACTGAATATTAAAAAGGATAAAATGAATATTATGAAGGATAAAAAACATAGGTTTTCAAAAAAAAATCCAGATGCAGGTGTCAGAAAGTGTGAAAAAAATGTTCCACCATGTATTTCTGTTTGTTTCTTTCTTCTGCACCTGAGTATTTACACAGAAAGCAAATAAGGTGACAGAAGATCTCAAGAATATACATAAAATTTCATGCTAACTTTAATTTGGGAATTAGGCAGAATTATTAGAACTGTCAGCATATGATCACAGGAATTTCCAGTTACATTTAATCAAAACAACATCAAAAATTTATTAGCATGTTAGTGCTAACTTGGGCCCTCTGGCTGGAAATTCAAAATAAAAGAAAGCAAGGTAAAAAAATCCTCTCTGAAGTTTTATGCTATGCAATCATTAACATTTTGTTGTCAGGTAAATATTGCAGGCAGAGAAATAAACATGCACTTCCCAGGTGCCAGGCATCTCCATTTTCATTATAAGAAGGATTTGGAAAAAGCTGAAACTTGGCAAACATTTGAATTAGGCCGTGCTTCACTCGACCTGAGGAACTGCTACAGATGTGAAAATCAGGTAGCAGTTTATGCACTCTGCTAGACTTTTCAGCATGGGCTTCCCTGCCAACTTCTCTTGCTCCATGCCATTCCCCCACATTTCAATTTGCAGCAAGTAAGTGCGCTGCAGTGCAGTGTTTCCTAAGCCACCGACAGTAGATGCAGAGAGTGCTACAAAAGCACAGTTGTTAATTAAAGACCCCCAAGAGTATCTTTTAATCCCCAGTAATTTGCGTGAGGATTGTGTGAGTAGTTTGTGTGTCAAGCAGGAAAGTAGAGTCAGTCCAATTGAAATACGAGCAACAGAAGTGTGGAAAAATAAGTAACTTACCTTTTTAAACATAACTAATGAGATAACAGCAGAAGCTGTGAAAAGTGCAGCTATAATTATCATCATAATGCCAACAGGGATACTCTTATTAAGACCAGTAAGAGATGAAATCCAACCACTGAAGAAAAAAACAAAAACAAAAACAAAGGAAACAAGCCTCAGTCACAGGTATCTATCTCTAAAGAAACTTTAGAATCTCTCTTGTTCTGATCAACTGGAAGTATTTTAGAAGAACAGATAAAATAAATAAACGAATTATGAAATAAATACATAAATAAATCATATAACAAGCTTTTTCCTTATG